CACATACCTGTTCTACCTCTGGGAAACACCCCTCTCTGCCTTGTGGGCACCAGCTCCTGATAGCATTTTAGGGTCTTGGGTTTAGAAGTTTGACCGTTTGTCCTTGAGTGGCTGTCCTCGGCAAGCAGACCCTGTGTGGGAGAAGGAAGGTGCTGGCCAGGTCTCTTCTAGGACACAAAGCCAGTGCTCTGAATTGCCTCCCTCCATCCCCCATCTTTATTATCTTAACGAACCATTTCTTACCTCATCTTGCCCTCTTCTCCTGACCCTTAGCATTTCTGCAGAGTGCTTGCCTCATGCAGTGTCTTGGGCCATCAGTGCGGTTCACCCAGGGCATCTGGCTAACAGCCAGTGAGCTAACTGCTGCTGGACCTCAGCCTTCCCTGAGTGGGAGAGCCTACTGAAGGAGTTTCTCTATTTTTATTTCCCCAAAATGTGCATCCACAATACACAAAGAGAAACAAACACTGGACAGAGTGTCCCTGTGGACTCAAGATTCTGTACAAAGTCTGAAAGAGGAAAGAGTGGGCCTGTCACCAAAGCCAATCTGAAGGAGCCTTCCGAGGGGGAAGTCCAAGAGTCCACAATGCAAAGATCATTTCTTGTGTGTTTAGCTAGAGCTGATCCTTGGTGTATGCTACTGGAACCTTCCATGCCTATACTTCCATGCGTGGCAGGTCCTGGGACGGGGAGAGGCTGGCTGAGGGCCATGGCAGGGAATCCTCCGGGGACAGGAGCATGTGAGCAGGAGGAGAAATGCAGGCGTGGTGTGGATTCTGGTGAAGAGTCCCTCCTGATGTCCACTCTTTAAGCCACCTTCGCTTGGGAAAGCATGTCCTGGACCATTGAAGAGTTAAATCATTTTGAGAGATGTCTGGGAAAGGAGGTCCCCCCAATGACCCATTGAAAGAAAAGCTTTTCTTATATCAAGGCTCATCTAGTCTCATTTCCCAGGGAATCTCCACTTCCGACCTTATCTAGCACGACCACAGGTGATGCTCCAAAACTGTCTTCAGATCCACCATGAACTTGGCCGGAGGGATCCATACAGACCTGAAACCATCCAGTTCTCTCTCTGCCACTTCACCCCGACTTGCCATCTTCAACCCACCCCAAGCAACCTCAGAAGTAGCAGTGAAGTCTCCATTTTAGTTTTGATATGACAAGGCTAGCTATTTCTTTTTTAAAATATGTTTTTTTAGCTGTGAATGGACTTTATTTTATTTATTTACTTATATGTGATGCTGAAAATCAAACCCAGTGCCTCACATATGTGAGGCAAGCATTCCACCACTGAGCCCCAGCCCCAGCCAGAGGCTATCTATTTTGAAACTCTGAATTTTTAGTCTGAAAAATGCTACTGTCTAATTGATGTTTTGATCCATTTTTTTTGTCTAATGGACCAAGATGTGTACAAATATAACACAATAAGACCAATTAGCACATTTCTTTGAAAGTCAGGTTAGTGAAAAAGTATTTTAATGGACAGAACCCATCACCATTTAAGGCCACAAACTCATCTTAGGAAAAAATAATGAATCAGAGAGTTTCATTCTAATACTGCTACTTTCCCCAGCCTTTTAAGGCACATTCTAATATCACCAGCGTCTTCTGATACAGACGAGGTGAAAAATTAGATCCATCACTGAAGCTTCAACAGAAGCTCTTCCTCATCATGGCCATTACCAGGTCTGTGTCTTACCTGAAGCACCAGACGGAGACTGCCTCTAGATTTTTTTTATTGGTGCTATTGGGTTTTTAGCTGAATTTTACTGATATTTAGGTACTACCATTAATGCTAATGATGAGCATTTATGCAGACTTATTTGAGAAAGATGCTTTTATTTCTGCCAATAGTCTCTCAGTCTCTCTCTCTGTGTTTCTCTCTCTTTCTGGCCACACCTCTGTGTGTTCAGACCCTTTGTGCACTAAGCAAGTCACCTGGCTTGACAGACATTGGAGGTGGGTGACTTTCTCACTCCTTCCAGGGCCTATCCCTGATGGTGCTTGGTTCCTCCTCCCTCCCCATGTACAAGAGATTGGAGCATTTTCAATTGAAAAAGTTCATGAAGCACATTTGTGCGAACCCTTCTTTGTGTTTACCCAGCTTTGAGACTTCAATTTTTCTGCATATGGTTTGCTCTGTGTTATTGAATTTGTGCACATGTACAGGATGCTGCTTGCTTGCTTCTCAGTGGTACCAGTTCTTAGAGCCTACACACAGGATTGGCAGCATAATTTTTTTTTTTGTACTAGAGGTTAAACCCAGGAGTACTTAATTACTGAGCTACATCCCCAGCCGTTTTTAATATTTTATTTAGAGATAGGGTCTTGTTGAGTTGTTTAGGTCCTTGCTAACTTGCTGAGGCTGGCTTTGAACTCATGATCCTCCTGCCTCAGCCTCCAAGCCACTGGGTTTACAGGTGAGTGCCCCTTCACCAAGCAGGCAGCATCATTTTTTTTAAGAGAGAGAGAGAGAGAGAGAGAGAGAGAGAGAGAGAGAGAGAGAGAGAGAGAGAGAGAGAGAATTTTAATATTTATTTTTTATTTTTCAGCAGAAACAACATCTTTGTATGTGGTGCTGAGGATCGGAACCGGGCTGCATGCATGCCAGGTGATCGCGCTACTGGTTGAGCCACATCCCCATCCCATGAAATGCTGTTTTATGCCATACTTTAGGACCTGCTAAATGCTAAAATGAATTCTTCATGTCAAAACAGCACACAGGTCCCATATTCATTACAGTGCAATATACTTGC